TAGAATAATAGAAAGTGTGGCAGGCCAAAGATCAGCAGGAAAGATGACGTCAGGCCTGACAGCTATTGTTTTTGGGGTGGGGAACCTTTCAGGAGACATTTTGTGAATGCATTCATAGAATGTCTTCAAAATGTAAATATAGTTTTAATCCCAGGATGGATGGGACAACAGGAACTCATGATCTGGTGTTAAAATTTCAATTTGGGAATAAGCACACAAAGCATTATGAACCTTTGAGTTTTTTCGTTATCAGTAGTATCCACAAAGGAAAGGAAATTATATATAATATGATTTTCATACTGTTCATACCTTGTGAATCTGAACAATTAAATTGCTGCCCCATTGTGCAAAAAGTGTTGTTTTCTTGTTTAGAAAAGTTCAATCTCTGGATAAGATGGACAATTTGGGACACTGTAATGTAAGAAGAAATACAATTATCAAAAGCAAGCACACTCAATTTTTCCTCCCTAATTGTCAAAATGACTGAAAGAATTTGTGGTTTTAGAGAATTCAAATTTCTTTGTCCAAACAAAACAAACATAATAACCCTTAGGCTGGCTTTTAATCAAGCAATCATCAATTATTTACAGTCTGAGCCAAAACACAATACAACAGAGCAGAAATGCAGTAACGTAAGTGCAAACAGTGAATTTTAAAAATTGAAAGAAAGTATTTAAAAAGTTTGCAGTGTTGGAAGAAATATCCATCTGGGTTCAGTTCCAAGTGGGGAGAAACACACTGGAAACATGGAGGCTGATTGGAAAGATGGTTTAATGATGAACAGGACTACAAGGGTTTTAGGTTCTGGGTAGCTGACCACATGGAGTGGAGAATGGGTATTATTTATACCCTCCCTTGAGCCTTGCCCTTGAGTTTCCTGTTACTGTCTCAAGGGCATGTATTCTATTGGCTCAGACTCCCAGGGAGCTATGGTTATAGGTGAGGTTGTCTGAGATAGGTTTGGTTCAGTGGTGGGTTGCTAACCGGCTTACTACCTGTTCACTTGTGCTCTCTCTCTCTTGCATAATGCTTCTGCACATGGGCAGAAGCATCCGGGTGGGTGGGTGAAGCCTCCTGCAACTGCCACTATCAGTTTGGCTGAACCGGGACGAACCTGCAGCAACCTACCTCTGGTTCGGTTGAATCTTGCTGAGTGATGCATTGAAGAGGCTTGGTTGTGCCATGTAGTGAGCTCTGCTAATAGATAATCCTATTATACCCTGGAGGATCATGAGCTGCAGGTCTTTCGTCATCTATCTATCTATCTATNTGAGATTTGAACAGCCGAACTGCAGAACTGCAGTCAATTGAAGTAGCCTGCAGTGTTGCATTTAACCACTGTGCCACTTCGGCTCTTATATATGGCCTGGATATTGTTGTTTTGGGTGCCCTGTGATCCCTCCCACTCTCCCTCCCTCCCCTTAATGCTGCCTATTCTGGTATTTTCCCAGATCTTTTTATCAGATCAGTTAAAACTTAACCAATGTATTTATGGAAGACACTGAACCTGGTTTCCCCCTTACTTCCTTATTTGTTCTTTTTTCTTCCCTTCCCTTTCCCTGCTTTTCTTCCTCATCTTTTCATTGCCAACAATCGTCATTTATCTCATCAACCTGATTTCCAATGGAAAGTATTTCAATTTATTTGCACCATAAAATACTACATTTCATAGTAGGTTGGCCAGATATTGAGGGAGCCTTTGTAATCTAAGGATTCAGTTACAGAAAATCATGGTTATTGTCAAAATGCACATATATTTTAGAAACATCTTCCATAGTTACAATTTTATTTTTATGTCTCTATATCTGTGTATAGATTAATAAAATAATCCTCAACAACTTTTTCCAGTGGTCACCCCACAGAGTCACTGGTGAATAATCAGTTTGTCTGATGCTTTCTAAGATGCCTGCCACGGAAATATTTAACCAGGTAATTAATTATAAAACAAACTCATCCTGAAAGGGATTTTTTTTCTTCCCACCCTTGTTTTTCCTTCATTTTCAGAAATGTTTCTGGACCTCCAATCACATTTTTTTCCTTAAAGTTCTCTTAAAGCACATGGAGGATGACTTGAACCCTTGTGTCCTTCTGGAGGACAATCCTGGGATGATGTTGTACAGAGAAAATGTGGCAGATATCACCGTGTTAGCATTCTTACATTCCCCATGACAAGTAAAGTCAGGGTTGCAAATAGCATCCAAAAGTAAATCAGAGTCCAAGGCAAAATATTGCTCAAATATTGTCTCTCTGTTCCTTTTTCCTTTTTCCTTTCATCTCTCTCTCACTTTTTCTTTTTTTCTTTCTTTTCTTTCTTTCTTTCTTTCTTTCTTTCTTTCTTTCTTTCTTTCTTTCTT